GTTTTAACATACACAAAGGGAAAAGCGAATATAAAAACCTTTAAATATCTGGGCAGCACCATTGATGATGCAGATGTGAAAGAGTAGATCGCCAAAGCAGGAGCGGCATATCTACAACTGAATAATATCTGGAACTCAAAACAATTGTCAACCAACACCAAGGTCAGAATTTTCAATACAAATGTCGAGACAGTTTTACTGTATGTAGCGGAAACCTGAAGAATTATGAAAGCCGTCATCCAGAAGATACAAGTGTTTATTAACAGCTCCCTACCCGAAATACTTCGGATCTGTTGGCCAAACACTATTAGTAACAACGTACTGTGGAGAGAACAAATCAGGTTACAGAGGAGAAAGAAATCAGGAAGGAACGCTGGAAGTGGATAGGACACATATTGAAGAAAGCACCCAACTGCGTCACGAAGCAAGCCTCCATATGAAATCCTCAAGGCCAAAGGAGGAGGGGAAAATCAAAGAACACATTACCCTGAGAAATGGAAACTTGCATGAAAAGAATGAATGAAAATTGGACAGCACTAGAAAGGAAGTTCCAGGACAGAGTGGGTTTGAAAATGCTAGTTGCCGACCTATGTTTCGTTGAGAGTAACAGACGTAAGTAAGTAATTAAACATATGTCAAGCATACCCTTAAGATTTTCAGATCAGAACTTTTTGAACCAAGAAGTTGGAAAGTGCTCCTATAATGCATACTACAGAAGCACTCACTTGTTCTTCGCTGCAGACCTATAGGTAAAGATAGCCGAATAGAGAACACTTAATTAAACACAAGCGACCGAGACTATCTGTTAAAAAGTCCTCTTTTTGATTCTCAAACTACTGAGACGTGAAGCTTCAAAACTAAACAAGTCTTCTTTCACAGGCTGCATCGTTAGATATCACTCCCTGATTGTGATACATTCCAATTAACCCAAGGCATTTCGTACAATTTAGAAAACTAGGCATTCACAGTAGAAACTATAGCCTTTACAGATTCAATTTGCTGTATATTCTTTATATTCAAATTCTCTTAGTCACTGATAAGACTTTTTGAGACCTAATATATTGTTATTCTCATCTACTACTTGCCTGTTCACTACACAGTAGTCTAGATTTTACTGAATCATGTCTCTCCACAACACTCCGGATCTTAGACCTTAGGGTGTATGCACCGTTTCCGGCATCTAAGTAATCCCTTATAGATTATGTTTTGATCATTTTATTGTTTTATAACAGATTAAAGTATTTCAGTCTATTAAATGGAATGTGAATTATTGCCGACATTAACCGCCAATAATCAACGTTGATTAATGAGGTATCATGTGGATATTGTGGGCAGAAATACCAAAAGAAGTTTGTTCTTTGGGATTTCACGTAGGAAAACTACGGAATGTCCCCGAACCCAGTGAAAATCTCCGGGCCTGAAAAAATCTAGGACAAAATTTGAATGAAACCCAAATCTAGTAAAAACCTAGGAATATTTTTTTTAGTGGTTCACAAGATTTGTTTCGAATGTTTTTAAATTTTTCCCAAATTTGGTAATTTCAGAAAAAATTAAAGTCTTGAAAAATGTTTTGGCTATACACACTCGAGCTTTTCAATAGCACCGTCCATCTTGGGTTGTCTTGGGTAAGCACTTGGAATAAATGACATCACAGTTATCCATTTCCATACTTACAAAACGGATGGGTGGTAAGTAATATCGCGAATCAAATTAAAACGAAAATATACGCACTTCCCATGAATCGTTTTTCCCTCGTATAGGTCACATGTGGAAGTGAATACTGATTTTTTTAAGTTTCATTCCAACCGTCGTCCATAGTATTCTGAAAGAAAATCAAGGCTGTGATATGATTAATGAAAGAACAATAAAAATACTTTTAACAACCAGAAATAACTGAATTAGGTGTGCTAACTAGTAATATTCGGAATTGTTCATTTCGTACTCTAGTATTCACGCATGTTCCAGTATCAAGTCAGAGAGAACTTGTGAATGAAATCAAACGTATTATATTCGAAATTCGTATAAAGCGCAAAGTTCTATCAATTAGCGGAAACACTACACTATTTTGAGCATATGAATTTTTTCAGTATACAGTTGTATTGCATGAATATTTGGCAGCACCGTGAATCTAACATAAGGATGACGGTTTTAGACCTGCTGTGCGTTTCCCAGGGTCACAATGTGGTCGCAATGCCATTGTTGAAGCAGGTCTCAAAAACTGCGCTCATGGCACATTATATTCGCTGGTAAATCTGCACTAACATACTGCGATTTATTATCATGGAATTCACGTATTTACAACTCTACTCGCGGAGCATATTATCTGTAAACCAATGTTGTGAATCATTAATCGTGCCTATAAAGAAAGCGTGAACCTGCTTTATCGGAGAGACATTATCATTATTATTATAAGAGAAAGGAGTCGAATTTAGTTGCGAATACCGGCTTATGTGTTGAATTTGATAAAACATGGGTCACGTGCTTGATTGACGGGATAATTATAGCAGGAGTCTAGAATAGCATATAAAGTGTACAGGATCTATTTACGGTTGTGTAACATAGTGTATATAGAATTAAAAGCTTACGGCGACGTCAGTGTGTAGCCCTGAACATCGTATTTATATAATCGTCGTACGCTGGAAATTACGGGAACAAAAAACAAAAGACAGATAGTACGTAGATCTCAATAAAGTATGGGGCTCTTATCCCAATTATTTAGAGTGACATAAAATGCGCACTGGATTTTGGAATTTTCGGACTGATAATATGCGAGTTATGACTCTGGTTAGTTTGTGTGTACTGATTCCTGGAGCGAATAATGTAGTTGCAAACGCTTTGTTTTGTATAACTTCCCTGGATAGTTTCCAAAGAATCGACCCTCTTGAACTTGACCAGCTAGTACCATGGACCGGTGACTCCAGTTGGAGTCCGAAATTTTTCGTTGTCTGACTACATTATTAGAAATTACATGATCCCGAACGAACAACCACCACCCACGAGTAAACTGGTTTGTAGGACGCCTCCACCGACAACTTAAAGCTTTACTCTCAACTGCAGACGTCTCACAATGGACCGACTCTATTCCACTCGTTTTACTGGGTATTCGCAATGCAGCAAAATCTGAAATTGGATACACTGCAGCTCACCTCGTTTATCGAACGACACTTAGACTTTCAGGATAGATATATGATGAATAGGATAAGCAATCGGCACATAAACGTCACATAAAAACAGTTAAGTTTAATAAGTTAATAAGTGATAAGTTCGAAATGTGGTTTGAGAAGAATGAATAGATTGGTCTGTCCAGAAACCTAGAACAGCCTATGTGTGCAGCAGAGTATATGTGAGCAATGCTTAGTGTGTCATGTTATGTGTGTTCACATACTGGAACGAAAAGTCAAATATCATGTTTTTTAAACGACAAGTTTACAGGCAATACTGAACTATGAGAACTGATGAGAATGAAAATAGTAATCAAAACTAAGTACCAAATGGGTTTCCTTTAACTATCCCCCACACCTTCCCAGCAAACCTTGTGCTGGTAATGCTGGTGAAGATGCCACAGGTATTTGAAGTTTGACAACGCTTTAACTAGTAACACCTAATATGAATCATATCCACCAAGTAAAATCAGAAGACAGAAGCGAGGAGGTTCAAAGATATATTTTACGGGTTATTGATATGTCAAGGATCGGCTGATCTACGCTGGCTAGAGACTGCAGGGGGTGTTGAGCTCGGCGTTTCCACTCGTGATCTGGTGCAGATGCATGATCGAGCGCCTCCAACTATATGAGTCCATTGAAACTAATGTGGTCAGAATCCAATGTCGCAAACTTACAGAGCTATTGATTTTTCGGATTTATTTGCCACTACCAATCACTACCCCCCTAGTTGCGCTAACTTCTGCGCCATTATCGACGAGATAGTGAACTTACGTTATCACATCTGTGAGGTATAACGGACGGCTATGTTTGCCGGTCACGGTTCCCGTTAACGCGTGCTAGCTGGGAAGTTTCGCGAATTCTTTTTCGTGTCGGTCGGTTCTGAGCTCGGAAATTTGCAGGGTTTTCTGCAATTTCTGGGAGACTTTCCGTAGTATTTTTGATACCAGCACCAGTCGGGGCTATCCATCTCTTGGGGAAGAGAGATAGATCGTTTACGTGAAATACTTCTTCGTGGGGTATGTCGGTCTTTACGAAATCCAGGATAACGTTTAACTGTAATACATAATTCCATAATGTCATTCTGGGTCCTTTGAGGTTTTTCTCTGACTGGAAAACCTCGGCATAAGATTTCTGGTCAGGTCGACAGCAGAACTGTCCACCTAATCTTCGACGGTTTTATTCTATTCCACTTGGTGCATGTAAATGTAACGTTTCCTCCATCACTCTAAAAAGATAAGGACATTATGACGCATCCAATGGCGAGCCACGAAATCAGTTCACGAACTCAAGCCTTACGAAGCGCGCCTCGAATCACTGAAACTTTACCCATTAGAGTATGGGCGTTTTAGAGCTGGCTTTCTCATGAATTACAACAACCTAACACTCACTGACACCCTTTAAACACCTGCTTAAACTCAGTGCCTTAGAAGTAACACCTGAAAACAATACAGCAGAACGGATTGTAGACACACCTTCTACTTATCAAGAGTAGTCAAATACTGAAATTCACTGCCTGCTCAGTTAATATAAGAGATTTTCCAGTAGTATTTTAAGAGAAAACTTGATATATTCTTAAAGACAGTATCTCACTATAGTTTAATAACACTTTTTCCCTACCGTTGTTAAATATACCTAGCTTCTCACCTGGAGACATTGACGATCTACTGCTACTAGATACGGAAGGCCATTAAGCTAAAGCTTCCCCTATTACACCCAGAAGCATTTAAAACCATTTTAAGCCATTGTACATGACAAACATTCCCGTCATTATGAAAATGTACGTTTCTTTAAAGTTTGTAGGTTTGTGAGGAGTTATCAACATTTTAAACGCTTTCATAGAATGGTCAATCCTGACATTTGTTCAGAAAAAAGTTTTAAAATAAAATGAATAACTACTCAAGACGTGTCAAGCCTCAAGAACGTACTTAAATATATAAGCGCACCCCATTGTTTTCTGATAAGTTAACCCTATAGGGCTAACTTCAGGTAATACTAAATCCCTATTATTCTTACAGAATGTCGAACCAAAGTGTTTAATCTGAAAATACGTTTAAATGTTTACTTGTAGATGAATTTTCAAATATCGACGAGAGTTATCAAAAAAATATTGATTTCTCCTAAATATGCAACAAAGTCCCTAAAAAATTTATTTAGACTGCTGGTCTGTCTAAAACATGCTTTAGTTTGTAGTTTGATGCATGGGATAACCGATTAAACATCAAGACAGTTTAAATTTACTTATAGACCCCACATAATTCTGTTCAAACAATCCATTTTGGGGAGAATTTTGAAAAATTAAACTTCAAAAAGTCATTCTCCTCAATTTTAATAGAAACCATGCGCCAAATAAAGTTCTTTTGTAAAAAAACGTGTCGAAATTCTTTTTAAAGTCGATTTTTCCCAGATGTATACTCTTTCCTTATGCTTTCACTGTACAATCTACTTTTCCCTTAGGAAGTTTACGTGTTTCCGAAATACACTATATTCACGTATGTGTTGTTTGTGTTGAAATTAGCACAAACCATATGATCGACGGAGCCATATGTTTACCGATTTTAAGAATACATTAGATTTATTAGTCATATGCAGAAAAAAATACTATTTGGAGTAATAGCTTGTCACGATATCACCACAGTCTTCTTGTGATCTGTATTTTACAAAAATGTTTTGCCCTTTTGAAGTTAACCTCCGAAGTAACTCATAGTGTGCGTACCTCATCCGGAATTCTGTAGAAACTTTATATTTAGTAAAAAACGAGACTCGAATACCTTTAGGATTTAATATGAATCCTGTTATGGTTCACAACGTTTGGCGTAAAAATTCTACACTTTAAAGCACACTGTTATTGATTTAACCAGTTATGAAGCTTTCGACTTCTCTGTTTTTCTCTTTAAAGCCTATATAGAAAACGTTGGATGCTAATACACTGTAGTTAAGCAAGCAGTATGGAGTTATCTTGAAGAAGCTTAAACCCCTGCTCCATTGATTGGAAGCATCACACTTCCATGTTATTTATCATAACTAATTGTGCATAAGGTATGTTTCATGTGTGCTACTTTGTTTAATCATCAATGAATTTAACTCATTTACTTTGTCAATTCAACTTCTAGGAAGAGTAAATTAGTTTAGAGACGGTATATAACTACTTATCCTTTGTTTTAAAATATCTGAAAAATCTCGGAATTAATGTATAATTTCAATAATCCAAGAGACCCCGTGTTTTCTAACGTACTAATCCCTGTTAACGTGATAGCATAGCACAAGTAAAACGAAAAAGTGGTTATCTTGTAAAATCTTCTTGCATTTTAAAAGTTATCGTCTCAAAATCTACACTCTCTTAAGTAATACAATATTGTATCATATACTGGATACTTGTCATCAAATGGATGCGTTAAAGACCATCGCTATAGTTGTTAAACAATGTAATTCAGATATCCTCAAACTTGTTAGTACCAATTTGTTTAGCCTCCCTCCCATCAAATTTCCTCAACCGATATTAGTCTTCAATTAAAGTCAACCATCCTCAAACCAACAGGACCTCTACAAATCATGTGGTTGAATTTATGTAGTACTGTTTATTCGTATACCTAAGTGTAGCAATTTCTTTTGACGTATACCCCTTCATTTCCCATTTTTTTATTTGACTTTTAGTAACGTGCTTACTGGCACAATTATTTGTACAAAATCGAAAATAAACGTCTTTACTGAACTTGTGAATTTCTGCCTAGCATGTCTCTAGCTAGAAAGTGGTGGGATAAAAGTGAATCAACTACCAAAAGGTATTCATCTGCCGATATACAGCCTATTGGTGAATATTTACAAGAGAAATTTTCTCATGGAGTCGACTATAATAGTATGTTTAGGAATTGGCATAAAAATTAAAATATTTGCTTTTGTCACCACTACCATTTTTTCTATATTTTTAATAGATACTTCACTGGTTGTACATCCGACTGACTAAACTAAATTCTGTGATTTGAAATCTCGCTATGAATATATTTATATTAAAGTTTGTAAAGATTATTTATAAATAACTTATCCATATCTAGAGCTCTTTATCATTGAATTCGAACTCTAAACATTGGATGTAGTTCATCAGACATCAAATTTATTAGATATATTTACTTTGTTGGGGCCTGTTACACAGTGTATAGGCCACCAAACAGGGTTCTCCAAACAAATCTGTGCTGGGATCCTTTCTAGTTGTTGCCGATTGGTGCCCATGGTCATAATGTCTGCCTTTGATTCTCGGCGTTATGTGCTCTTTGGTTTTCCTCTTTTTCCTTTGTTAAGTTAGATCTTACCTTGCGATGTGATCTTACACAAAGCATGTCTTATCTGCGTTTAGCTTTTCCTAATTTCTTCCTCAACTGGTTTGTTCTGTTTCACATTAGGCTATTGTTGATAGTCTGCGGCTAGTGGATCCGGAGTATCTTTCGTAGACATATATTTGCAAAACCTGCACTGCTTTGGTGATCGTCGCAGTTCTCCAAGTTTCAGCTCCATACAATAAAACTTTAAAACGTGTTGAAAATTCTTTGGTCTTAGATAACAGTTCTTTTGGGTTTCAGATATCCTTCAATTGTAGGAATGTTATCCTTGCTTTGTCGATTCGTACCTTCACATCATCAGATCCTCCTTGTTTATCAATAAAAATCTGCAGGTATATGGAGACTCCCACCTGTTCTAGCGATTCCCCATCAAGTGTAATATAGTTAATGCTCACTGTTTTGTACTTCAACATCCTACTTTTTCCCTTGTGAATGTTAAGGTCTATTTTTGGGGAGTCCTCCGCTATATTGGCTGTATTTATCTGCATATGTTGTTGTGTATGGGATAGAAGGGCTAAGTCATCTGCAAAGTCCAAAGCATCCGTATGTGTTCAAGGTTTCCACTATGTTATGTTGTTTTTCTGAAACAGAGGCCTTGATAATCTAGTCAGCAGTTAACAGGAGGAGAAAAGGTAATAGTTAGTAGCCTTTTTTAACACCAGTATCTGTGAACTTCCCCCATGCACAACTTTGCAATGTAGTCCATTGTAGAAGTTCTGTATGGTAGCGACGATTTTTTCAGGTATCGAGGTGTACCTCTTTCCAACCTTCTGGTACTTGTTCTCCTTCCAGAATCTTTCCAAAGGGAATTAAGAATATCTTTTCAGTTACATCATCAATGACTGAGATCATGAACCGATCAATGTTAGACCACCACTGAAAACCTGAAAGCATTGTCCAATCTGAGTTCAAAATTTAGTTTCTCTACCAGGATGTTCAGTTCTGTTTCTGAATATTTCTGTAGGATGGACTGCATCCTCGCATTAAAGTAGTTTCTATTATCTTCACTACTGTCGTTGATAAGTGCCTAGTACTGAATAACATTCGTTAGTCTTCTCTACTTTACGTCAGATTACTAGAAAATTCGACGTCAACACACTTAATGGGTTGTTATTTTCCTAAAATGATGCATAGGACGTTTTGTTTTGGATTCATCTCAATAAGGAAACGAGTGATTTCTTGTCAGGGTGGATTGTTGACGCTAATTGACAAACGGGTAGTAACCAGTGACATCTCGTATAGTTTTTAGTACTGATTCAGGTAAAATTAGAAGAGAATCAAGTAAAAGTATTTATATATACATACATATAAATGGGATGCTCCTACGGAAACCAACAACAATAGTTAACTCTTTGCTACTATGAGGCTACAAACATCACTCATGAAAGTAAAATACACACGTATGCTACAAATATTTGATCAAAGGTATTAGTCGCACATATTAGAACCATAAAGTGAACAATTGTGTGGTTATGAACGGAATACTAAATAAAAATGATAAATTCATTAATAAGGCTGTAAACCTTTGTTATCCGAGTTGGTTAAGACATGGTTTATGCATGCCACCTCCTACTCTGATATATAATGTTAGCCAACATAATAGTAGATTGGAAAAATACGAGCAGACAAAGCAAGGCAAAATTAATTGATTGTCGTTCTGAGCCACGTCGGTAGGTTCTAACTGCTTATTCGGGGACGACCGCACGATACTTGCCATCGATGGCGTAAAAATCGGTTATAGTGGCTCAGTATTATATGCTCCCTTGAATTATATATATATATATATATATATATATATATATATATATATATATATATATATATATATATATATATATATATATATATATATATATATATGAATCTAGTAATTAAGAAATTTAAACTGCTTATATTTTTAGTGAAAATTGTTATACGCGGTGATCGTAATGTTGGAAAATCAGCTTTACTTTCGCGCCTGAAGGGAGAACAGTTTAAAGAAGAATACATCCCATCCAATGAGATTCAAGTAACTTTATTTTTGCTTATATGTTAAAATCCTAAGAATTATATCTTACTATTTAGAAAAGTAGATGAAATATTATAGTAAAACATCTTTGGGTACTGTAATGAGAAGACGAATGTTATCAGAACTATGTGTTATATCAGCACAATACATTTCGAACAATCTGACCACACATATACTTGTTATGAACATTTATATACGAAAAAGTAAAAGGTTAACTAGACATAGTATGTATACCGGAAATTCTTCACGCACGGTTCACTTGCGTAAGTACGAATGTGTTTCTACACACATATATATTTCTTCCTCCCCCACGACTAATTCTTTTTTCTTGTACTATGTCCTTATATGTAATCTTTCTTTTATATATTACCACCACTGAATTAACTACTTCTATGAATCCAGTGTTCATCTTGTTGTGCTGATGAGATATAGCAACTTGAACCGATGCGTATATATACCTGGTCCTACGTTGTAGCTGACTGACTGATGTGATCAGATTGTTCGAAGTGTATTGTGTTTACACATTATATAGTTCTGACAATCTTCGTCTTCTTATTACAGTATCCAAATTTACCAAAGGGACTAATTACTTTAAACTCTTGAGTTGATTATGGGAGTATTTTTAAACCAGTTGCACATAATGTAAATGCTTTATTATTATTATTATTATTATTATTATTATTATTATTATTATTATTATTATTATTATTATTTGCATACAGTATGCTTTCATTCATCTTTCTGTTCTGTCGACCTCTGACCACATAGTTGGTTGACCGATTCACTAAATACGGAAAAATATTCATTTAATTATATCACTTCTTCCCACAAACTTATCAGGAGTTGACCTTTTACCTTTGTTTCTCGTATTGACTTGTAGCTATGCAAATTTAATGCAGTTTCGTGTAGACATATCAGGCAATAAAATCTGAATTTCGGGATATGCTCCTCGTTTTCCAACCGCAATATGTTGCTTCAAGACCGATATACATCACTACCGAGTTTAACATTAGATGTGATTGAATGGGTTTATCACTAAGCTTAGGGATTTATCGGTTTGATGCATTGGTGGAACCTCTGTGTAAGCACAAATTTTAGTTTTTGCCAAATTATATTACCTATACTGCAGTTAAAATATTAGAATGCTTGTCAAAGTGAATTTATTACACACTAGTTCTATGTGTTGTCTTACAAATGTAAAAGACTTCCATTAAAGAATCTTTAAAAGATCTCGTGTATATTACAATCAACAAATAAACAATCCTCGTGTTTAAGTATGAAGTAATTGAATATAGATTTTAAACCAGTTGATATGATTGCAGACCTTCATCAATTTTGGTAATTGCAACATTTGTATGCTAAACTGGTTGGAGTAGGTGTAAGTTAGAAATGGATTAAGGGTGAACAAAGTTTCAAACTTACGAAAACTATTCAAAAATATGAGTAAATCAGAGTTATGGTTTTTAAAGTAACTTATCAATAAAATGTCAATTATTTGAAGGGCAAATACAAAGTCATATAATTAGTGCCCCGTAATAAGTAATAGTCTTAAATTGATGAAGCTGAAATTTTGTTGTAAATAATTGTGTGTACATAGGATTACCTAAGCATACACTACTTTCACTAATAGACAGGAGATTGTTCACATTATGTAAGTGGTTCTGTAAATACGCCTTTAAAACTGTCGTATCGTGTCTATCTTCTTACAAACTAGTGTAGATGTTAAAAGTTGATTCTTTAATCGTGTTTGTATCTTCAGCTCTGTTCAATGTTGAAAAATTCTAGCGTATCGTAGTTGTTAAACTTACTTAAATATTAGTTTTCCCTGTATACATTACAAAGTAAGTTCAATAATTAAACCGTACAATGATTAGCATTAGATTGTGATCACGTTTTTTTAACCAAATTGGATCATTATACGCTATTGTGTCCAGTGCTTCACTAACACAGTTCCTGTTTATATAATCCCTACATTCCACTGAATGTTCACTTCTGAGTTTTTTGACATAGAGTTTAACTGTGTTACCCCCCCCCCCGCCTTTCGGTGTTTCATAATCTCTCATGCATAGGGTTTATTAGGTTTTGGAAAATGTAATGATTATAGGGTTTTTTGTTGGATGTGTAGTCTCGTGCCAACACCAATAAGTAATCTCATGATAGAAACGTTTTGTAACATTTCCACGTGAATGTTGCCTAATTATGTACTGTAATACTTTGTTATAATTAAAACATCCTCAAGTTAATTCTTAATAACATTGCTATTTTTGACCGTTAGATTTACACTGATATTATTTGAATAAATCATACTAAAAATTTTATCCATTGGATATTATTTTCATTCGACAGTTGGCTAACATTCATTGGAATCATCAAAATTCCCAAAGTGTAATTAAAGTAGAAGTTTGGGATGTTGTTGATAAAGGTAAACCTAGGAGTAGTGCTTCGAAAGGCTTGAAGTTTTTCAACAAACTAACAAAAGGCCAACCTGTTATCAATATTGGTGGACAGGCTGTGAGTTATTATTTTCTTGTTTTCATGTTATATTACTTATTAGTAACTGTGTCAAATTGTGTCAATTTTGTTTAGTGTATTTCAATAAGTACTGATTCTAGGTAGTCAGCAGGATGCTTTACACTCAGATTTCAAACTTACTGGTAAGCACCACTGAAGGTCCTGGATTCAATCCCTAGATGCGGGATTGTGGATGGGCGGAACTGCCGTCCAGTGCTTTCAGGTCTTCTATGGTGATGTAGTGAATGATGACTTGATGGGGAAAACTATTTTTATGCAAATTACTTAGTGCTTTCGCAAAATGTGAACATCATACATTAAATACATTATTTGCACATCTTCCATCAGTTGTCCTGTACATATTTCTCCATCCCTTAAATTTGGTTATTATTCCAATTCCTCTTTGCTTCCCTCCCTCTTTCTCTTCACTTCAATTTTCTACTACCAGGTGTTACACTTTCGATTGGTGCTACTTACTACTTCTTTTTGTCAGCATAAGCAGCATTCACCACAGGGAGACCCAACTAAGATCAGTTCGTAATTTAAATTATGAATATATCTGTAATTTTGAAGAAATGGATACCTCATCAAATATTCGTAACCTGTGTCACCTACGAAAATCAGAAACGCTTCTGTAGACCTATTCATGATAGATTTACACTCGCATTTAAGTTCAAATCAAGTACCTAATAGAATAATTCGGTTAAACGATTGCTTAACTAGTCTTTTCTCAAGACCATTGTTATATTGGTGAAGTTGGGGGAGGGGCAGGAAAGGAATATTTGTTTCAGGAGGGATCCTACTTCAGAAAAATTCACTGTAATGTTCAGGCTAATAATTATTTTAACATACAGACTCTTTGACATATTTTTAACTGGGACTGTCTTCAAGATGCATAATTATATGTTCGTTACATTTAGTAAGTTTCAATGTAATAAAAAAGTATGTTAAATGGGATTTAGCTTACATATAAATTCTTGTAATTTACCATGCTCAAATTATCCAATCATCCTGATCTAGCTTGAATATAAACTATATATGTACCAGGGATTATGTTCCAAGACAAGCTTAAATCCATTTACATTAAGTAGTTACTATTAATTACTGTGTTAAAAAAGCTTTATACAATTCAAAGAGAAGTATCATTATGTTTTCTTCAGTAATGATTTAGTTTATAAATTACTACCTTCCTGTGTTCAGTTAGCTACCTGAATAAAGTATACCGATAAGAGAATCTAATTCCCTCTTTATTCATCTCATATTAGTTTCCTTATCATTATTAGGGGTTACTGTCATTTTGATTTAGGGCTACTTGGTACTGAGTATTTAGATTACTTGCCTATGTCTGTTACCCCTCGTGAAGCATAGTCCTCCAGACAGGATTCTCCAACTAACTCTGTCATGAGCTCTCCTTTCCAGTTGTTATCAAGTTTTGTTAATTCTTTCAGAGTCTGCATCCAATTCCTGGCACACTGTGTTCTTTGGTCTGCCTCTTTTTGTCCCGCCTTCAGGATTCCAAGCTAGGACCTGCTTTGTTATACAGTTTGATAATTTCCACAATTTGTGTCCTACACACCTCCAGCACCTTTTCCTAATTTCCTCTTCAGATAGAACATGGTTTGCTCTCTGCAAGGATAGGTTGTTGCTGATGCTATCCAGTCAACGGATCTGGAGTATCTTTCATAGACAACTGTTTATGAATACTTGTACTTTTTTGACAATTGCTTCAGTTGCCCTCCAAGTTTCATTTCTGTACAACGGAACTGTCTCGACGTTTGTACTGCAAATTCTGACTTTGGTCTTGAGTGGCAGTTTTTTTTACGTTCCAGATGCCTGACATTGTCTGTTCATGGGCTTTGTTCAGTAATTTGCAGAGTACCTAGCTATTGGAGGTGAAATATTTCAACAAAGTATCATAAGAAATCAGTTCTACTCCAAACAGACACAAATGCTAGTTGATATGAACTGAGAATTTTTACCAACTTTTGAGTAAAACTAAGCTGCATTTCCTTACAATTGAGTACTCCAACACTTTATTCCATTATTTGTAACGCATAAGAACGATTCACTAAAACTAGAGTAAAAATATAATACAGTTGCAAAATCAACCCATGAATGAAATCATAGTTTCTACACATCCTAAAGTAAAAGAAGCGTCCTCCAACATCTTTTCCTAATTTTCTCTTCAGTTGTAAGTTGATTTGCTCTCTCGCATAATAGGTTGTGCTGATTGTTTCCGGTCAACGTAGATTGACTCTCTTGTGTAGTAAATGATTTATAAATACTTGTACCTTTTTGATGATGGTTGTTTTAGTTCTGAAAGTTTCAGCTCCATACAGTAGAACTGTTTTGACGTTCGTATTGAAGATTCTGACTTTGATGTTGGTTGACAGTCGTTTTGAGTTCCATATGTTCTTTAGCTGTAAAAATGCTGCCGTTGCTTTGCCAATCCTGTCCTTTAAGTCTGCATCGGATCCTTCTTGCTCATCGATGATGCTTCCCAGATACGTGAAGAATTTCACATCTTCCAGAGTTTCTCAATCGTGTGACAGGGTTGGTGTTTTCTGTGTTGTATTTGAGGATGTTGCTATTTCCCTTGTGTATGTTGAAGCCTACTGATGCTACACCGGTTGTCTTGAACTGCGTTTGTTGATGTGTGTGTGCATAGGATAGAAGGGTCAGGTCACCTGCAAAGTTCAAATCGTCTAGTCGCATCCAAGCTGTCCATTGTATTTCGTGCTTCAACCGAGATATGGAGGTCTTAATGATCCAGCCAACCATTATAAAAAAGAGAAAAGGAGAGAGTAATTAACCTTGTCTGTCTTCGGTGCTTACTTGAAATGAGACTTTCAGCTGTGCACCATTCACGACCTTGCAGTGTAGTCCGTCCTATGAATTCTGGATTATACTGAAGATTTCAGCTATACCTTAGTGTTGAAGTTTCCATAAAGTCACCCTATCCACACTGTTGAACAATCAGTTTAATGGAACTCGTCACTGTACACCAACTTTCTTGACTATGAGAAAGCATTCAACAGTTATCCGTGGTGTCGCGATTTGGTTTGTGCACGAAAATTCCTTACGGAATCCGGTCTGTTGATCTTGAAGTTGAGCGTTTACTGAGTCTTTCATCCGCTCAGCAATACTCTTCTGTAAACTTTTCTTGGTACTAACAGTAGTGTGATGCCTCTGTAGTTCTCATATTTGCTCAGATCTCCTTTCTTTGGTATCTTGATGCGGTATGCTTTTTTCTAGTCTGCTGTGGTACTTGTTCTTCCTCCAAAATCTTCCTGAATAGGATGTGGAGCGTGTTTGCAATTACTTCCATTTCTGACTTCAGTGCTTCGTTTGTTATGTCGTTAGGTCCTACTAACTTCCCACTGTTGACTTGCCTCATGGCCATCCTGATTTCTTCGATCGTTGGTGGAGTGACATCTATAGGAAGACCTGTGTGTGCAGCTTCGATATCCAGTGGATTCAATGAGGCTGGTCTATTCAAGAGTTCCTCAAAGTGTTCCATTCATCTGTTCAGATGTCTTTGAATTTCAGCGATTGGCCTGCCTTCTTTGTCCTTGACCGGTCTCTCTAGTTTACTATATTTCCCCACCAGTTTCTTCGTCGTATCACATAGTTGTTTGACATTTACTTCTGTTGCAGCTTTTCCCTCTGTTGTTGCTAAGTCCTCCACGTATTTCTGCCTATCAATTATAATGCTCTTCTTCACTTGCTTGTTTGCTTCTCTGTATTCAGCTTGTGTCTTGACTTTTTCTACTCTTGTTCGGCTATTGTTAATCGTTGTCTTCTTGGTCTTTCTTTCTTGAATTTTGTCGATAGAGGTCCATTCCTTATGATAATGCCTCTTGCAACCCAGAACCCTCTTATATGTTGAAGTTAATACTTCTTTGATACTTTTCCAATTGTTCTCCATATTAGTTTCATCGTCTTTAAGTAGAACTTGTAGGGCTTTGAACCCGTTGTTGAGTTTGTTCGTATCTTGAAGAAAGACTGTATTGAACCTTTGTCATGCTATTTGTGCAGTTTTCCAGTGCTTTTTTATCTTCGATTTCATCTTGGCAACCACCAGTTGGTGGTGATCTGAAGTTATGTTAGCTCCTCTCCTAGTTCTCACGTCTTTCATTGACCTGATTTCTTAGTGATGCAAATATGATCGATTTGATTCTGCGTAGTGCGATCGGCGAGCCAGACCCATGTAGCTTTATGTATGTGTTTGTGGAGGAATATTGTGCCGTCTATAATCATTTTGTTAAATGCACATAGGTTTGCAAATCTGTCACCATTCTCGTTGGTTTCTCCTAGTCAATCCATGTCGTCCCATGATATCTTGATATCCGCTGTTGTCCATCCCAACTTTGGCGTTTAAGTCTCCCATCATGACGACCAGGTCCTTTTCTGAGCACTTCACTGTGATTGATTGCAGCCTCTCACAAAATTGATATTTATCGTCGTCGTTGCTATCATTGGTGGGTGCATAACATTGGATAGCATTCATTATGATCCCTTTTTTGTTTGTTTTGTAGGATGCTTTGATGATTCTGGGTTCGTGAGATTTCCATCCTACAAATGCTTCACGTGCTTCCTTTGACAACATCGAAGCAACTCTCTGAGTGTGCTGAGCATGTTCTTCTTCGGGATCCGAGTACAGCAGTATCTCTCCTGAATCTATTCTTTTCTGTCCAGCTTGAGTCCAATAGGTTTCACTGATTCCGAGAATCGCCAAGTTGTATCTCCTCATTTCCGTAGCTATTTGACTGGTCCTCCCGGTCTCCCACATTGTTCGGAGATTCCGTGTTCTTATGTTAATTGTTGCTCTGGTTGTTAGAAGGGGCATCGACCTCGTGATTTCCGAAGAATCTTGGCTTTCACCATGAGGTATCATAATTCTTCTGAACGAAGATCCTTCAATTCGGAGGGCAGAGTTTAAATGGTTCAGTTTGTTTATTCTGGTTAGCGTTTTCTGGCAAGGTTATTTTCTACGTGATCAGGTTGCGGACCCCATACCTAACCCCCATCCTTTGTGTGGGCTTTGGAATGACAGTAACCCTAAAAGAGCGACAGTTGGAGTTACTTATTCTCTAACTACTGACATATATATGAGTAGCTTCAGAAAATTAACTTAATATTTATAACACTCTATTGGCTCACCACTTAATCTTGCATTTGTTCAACCTCATGTAACATTCCTTTGAAAAGCCTCACATGTATAAATAGTAAACGAGTTCACTTTATATGGAATTATTAGCTTTAGTATATTCAGGACATGAAAGGTTTCGATAGAATAGGAATCTTACAGAGGTTTCATGACAATACTATTGTTTGAAGGAACTATTTCATTACAAATGATTATAATAGTATTAAGTATTATAAGACCATTCTGATGGAAATTTTACAAAATATAAATGCACAAAAATCTCTTCGTCCTGCTATTTTGTCTACTTTGATTATAAGGCTGCAAAGAACTTGGAATCAATATCTTATTTTTATCTAAGTTTGTGATAATAATTCATTTTTGTAATCCCATCACCATCTATCGATGTAGGGTACTCTAATAAAAAATTAATGTATCAAAGTTTAAATAGCAATTTCTCACACACCACATTTTTCTTCAGACTGTAACCCCTCTTCGCTCAACATCTGAACCTAATTTTAACACTTTCAATCGGAGACATTAACATGGTGCTATTTACTCCCTTCACCTTCTTAGAACCAATTCTCGTAATTATGTGTGCATTAGATGTTTGTTATTTAGACTATAAGTCAAAAAGATTTAAATTCAGAGCTTCGTTTAAATCTAATCCCAAATATATAACGTATATACAATACATCATAATACCATTCCACTTGACTTAGTTCCCAAATTTTAATTTGATTTAGACCTACAATTCGGCTACTATAATTCTTTTTAATTCAAAAATCTTTTATTCAGATTTTATGCCCATTTATTCACATTTTAACCTTTTCCTCTATAACAGGGAAATATTGAACCATGTCTAGATGCGAGTTTTATTAATGTCTACAAAGGTGCACATGGTGTTATCTTAATGATGGATATGACAAAATCATCGTGAGTTAAAATTTTAACTTTTTGGTTATGTACCTGTGATACTGCCAAAATATTAGTAATTCAACTGAACAACAAATTGTTTTTTTATCTTCAGAGAACACTCATTTTTTAAGCCGTTATATATTTAAATTATTTGTTAAATATAATATCAATTGATGTAATTTGTAAAGCGACTCAAACTCCGCTTCGTTTCCATTCAATCAATTGTGTCAAGAAAAAGTGATTATACAGAATAATCAGACTATTTGTCATTAGTTTACAGTCGTTTTAGGTTCAGTAAAACATTTCATGTTAGTTATAATATTGACACTCTAAATATAACCCCTTCATCAATTATACAATACAACTTGAAACCTGATCCACCGAGATATTCTTATCTACTGTTATAAAGATTTAAGTAGTGCACTGAATAATCCGAAAATATTTTATCATATTTTCAAAAATTAATATATCGAAGAAGGTCATGAAAACAGACTTTTCATCGTAGATTACTAATACTTTCTTCTTATTTTGGACATATTTCGATGAAAAATTTTAAACGATGAATGGTTAATGAATTAAGATTTGCTTTTATACAAGTAATATACTAAATGATTTCTAATGTTGAAGTGTTTAAAATCAATCGAGTTGCCTCGTAATGCTTCCAAAAACATATTCTTTTAAATTTGGACATAATTCACATGTTGTTACATTGATCAAGCCGTATAGTATCTTTCACATATGATAACTGAGTTTTATTTCTGTAAGACAGATATTAATTTTTTAATTGCTTGTACCCCCAAATTCCCCGACATGACAGAGTCAGGAAATTTCGCTCTCCCCCTTGATATATTCTCATATGATAGCAAGTATAAAGCCACTACTAGGGAAGTTCTACTCACTAACTTCTCGAGGTGGGAGTGTTGTTTATAAAGTCGAGAGGACGAAAAATAAATATCCGGAGCTTAAACCGAGCTAGCAGGCACGGAGGAACAACCTAGGACAGTTGAAGCCCTGATTCCAAACCAAGGGGCTCCATGATCCTGAGGGGACAAATGACTTATAAACATATTCTTGGTCACCTTCTACCATGGGACTGCATCTCCTAACATTACTCCACCGCCTTATGGATTAGACCTCTGGGCCAAAAGTTTGGAGAATGGCCCTCTCGGGAAACTACCTGTTCCTTCTTTAGCATCTAGGTAGTATCTCAACCCACACACAAATTCAATGATTTATGTGGCGCGTGTATATCTTAGTGCTTCTTTGTACCGATGTTTATGCGTTTGAATAAATAAATAAAGTTTAATTTCTTGTAATTCTCTACAAATTACTAAATCTATTATATGTATATATGTTTTATTGTTGACTATGAGTTAGTTTCCCCCTTTTCACTTTACTTCATTTTCAGTTAAAGTAACTAATTACTTCACTCTAAACAACCTGTACAGCATTTTGTTGTCTGTAATTCACTTTAAGCTTATAGAAATTTGTAGATGTTCTTAAGTGTTGTCGATACCAGGACATACTGGACAGCTTGTTCGTCCTAGTATGGGACTCTCAAACTGAATGGACCCAAAACTCCATCCCAAGGGATCCAACTCGAGACCTTCGGTCGCATACGCGAACACTTAATCTTCAGACCACTGGGCTGGAATACAATGATGTACACATCTATCTTCAATAACTTCTTCATATTAATTAACCATCTTTCATTATCTTACATGCATAACTATCTCATACCCAGCACATTTGCGCTCTAGTAATCACGTCTCAGTTTAATAATAGTCTACTTTTCTCACTATTAACACGTTTCTTTAATGAACACTAAATTAAGTTGATTTAGTAAAGAAATTGGAACTGAATTATTATTATTATTATTATTATTATTATTATTATTATTATTATTATCATTATTATTGATTCAAGTATGACCTAACTTTTAATTAAATAAATAGTAGGTGTAATTTATAAAGTAGAATAGTGTTTAACACTAATAACTATTATCATGCTTTGAAGATGCGATATCCGCTGAAGGTGCATACAACATTTGCACATAATTTTCATATATGTCCATTACTTTCTATGTAGATAAGTTAATTACGCATTTGTTATTACCGATTATCGAGGTCATGTTTTAAAACCTATTAATATATACTACTACTATTTGTAAAATTTTCTGTTTTCACATTCACTTGTAATTTATACTACTGATATAAACAAAAAAAATGGGTCAAGTTTAATTAGATATATTCATTGGTAACTTTAATGAGAGGAATAACAACAAAACAAATTATTCTTTAATACACTGTATCAATCGATATCTGTATTGATTTTTCTGATCAACCGATTTTCATTAGCACTTAGCACTAGTAGTCGTTTGTAGTATTTTGTAGAACCACTATTTTTATCGTCCAACGACTTTAAATCTTGGAGAATTACGTTTACATTATGTTATGTAGACTATGCTCTTTGAATTAATATAAAACGAGGAAATTCCAAATATTTTTAATATCGATGACGTTTATGGAGATCCTTTTTCAGTTTATAATTTACTTCATGGACTGACTTTAACTCTAGGCACAACCATTGAAAAACATAAAATAACGGACAGATCTTTTGTCCTAATCTTAGACTGCGTAACGTTGCACATTTGGGACTCTTCAATGTCCATAGATAATTTCTGTTGGACAGTTTGCCTATATCCTATTTGATTCCCGAAATCTTTTTCATATTATTTTAAGAAGGTAAAATAGATTGGACCGACGTGCTCCGTATCCCCAATTTCATATTGTCAGGAATGATGAAAACTTAACTATGAACATGGTCGCGCGATATTACGAAGTGATTGGGGTGAAACATGTCAATTGTTGGGTCGCGGTCCAGTGGTCTAGACTTTAAACGTTCACGTGTAAGACCGGAGGTCCACTGTGGTGGGTTTGTGAGTGCTCATTACCAAGAGGTTTCATATTAGAACGAAACCGTTGTCCAGCCCTTTCTGGTTTTCAAAGATTACCTAACTAAGATCAGTTCTTGACATAAACCATGTAACTCAGAAATCTCCATAAACCCTCTATGGTGGATAAAAGGAATGACTTCTTTTCCTAGTGATTAGTTACCATTTACTGAAATTACTGCTAAATATTCCTGCTTGTGTATTTGCAAACCAAAGGCCTTGTGTTTTATAGGAAAAAAAGGAAAACACAAAAATATGGCAAAAATCAATAATGTAGTGATATTCATGGAAAAAATGTCAGGAAGATAGTAAGAAAAATTCAAGGTCAAAACTGGCCAATCAGAGAAAAGATAAATATCCTGGATAAATATGTGATTCATCCTATATAATTTGGTGTAGGCATTAGGAAGAACAAACACCCTATCAAATTTAGACCAGGTAGATTACGTGTGTAAAGTCGATAGGTTTTCTGCAAAGAAATGCATTGATTTGATTTTCCTGATGATAACTTTGACCAGTGTTGCTTACTTTCTGTCGAATTATAAAACAAAAGTATATATATATATATATATATATATATATATATATATATATATATATATATATATATATATATATATATATATATATATATATATTAAATCGGTATATTTGATCAGATGTTTGACAGTTCAGTTGTGTAACTTAACTTACAATGGTATAACTATTTCACATAAGCTGACTTAAAACATAACTGTCGAAACAAATAAACGAGAATAGATACTTTATCTGAGTTAGAGTCGTAAGATAATGTCAGCTGATATATCAGTGAAAATTAGAGAGGAATGGACAGCTGTTTCGTCATAGTTCAAGTACGCAGTACCAGTTTCAGTACCCAATCATAAATTCAAATAAGGTTCATTGATCTCAAGACGCTTGCATCTCACAGTAAGTACAATACATTTAGATGAATAAGTAGTGATACTCAGCACTTCATATATTCAAATTTGATCATTTGCTGATATTTCATAATATTCACCCAACGTCATAAATTTTGGTTGTCTTCATAAGTTGCAGCTTATTAGAAGTGTGAAAAAGTTTTAAACCTGGTTACTAGTGAAAAAGTACTTATTATTTAGCCAGATTGTTTTGTAGAAACTTTAAACTTTTGAAATTGGTAGTTTTATGTACATAAGTTGTCCTAAAACTCAGATTAATATGGAAACCTAGTTTTTCCCTAAGCCGATATCATCTCTGTAATTCAAACATCAATGCAATAAATATAGCGATCATATAAAGTATTTGAATCAAGTGATTTCATACAGACTTTATAGTTCAAAAATAATTCTCATCCGAAATGCGAATAACTTCATCTGGGAAGCATTTGAACTTCATTTGAACTTTTGACCAGTATACACACTCATGATTCAACATAATACTGAACTCATTAGAAAGTTCAGCTCTCGAAATCAATGCAACATCATTTAATCACCAAGACGTAGTTCAATGTTCCACTCTTTCTAAATGCAGTCACTCCGTGTTATAGTACAATCCTCGTACTATCATCAATGAGACTGCTTCTCAATCCTAATTTCATTGACTTCAGAGGTGCTCATTTCTTTATCTGAAACAACATACTCCCATACGGAATATTCTCAAAACTCGAGTTCTGGTGAACTATATCCTTTTTTGTAAAACCCTATTCGATATCATTGCCTGTTCAATCCCTTGGGGTGTTTTATTCTGTTACCTACTTCCTTCTGAAAGTTCCGTGATACGTTTTTTGCTGATTTCGAAAATTATCAGGCAACATATGCTTTACTATCCATACTTTTAATTTCCTTATTCTTCATGAAAGTTTATTTTTGTCTACTCTCATTCGCTATATAAATTTTCATGTAGGACATTTGAATATGTATGTCGTGAACTTGTACAAATTCCTCCAAAACTGCCTATATTAATTATGTCAAATTTCCATGATATACAAGATCAACGTAAAATCAGTGAAGAACAAGTTCAAATGTTCCTCAATGACTCTATTATGCAATTGAATCAGTATAATGTTACATCTGATGAAAAATTCAATGAATTATCAAGAAATATTTATGTACAAAAGTGAGATTTTTATGTATATATTTTCATAACACCCTTAATTTACTGCCCACAATTTGAAGTACTGTTCACTTAAATTCGTTGAAGCTAGATGGTTTTTCATTGTCGAGTAGGAAACTCCACTTGGCCCTAGTCAACAAAACATTCCTACCATCATGTTTCATTAACTACCAAAATTATTGTAGGTATTAAGAGATTTCCACTATGGTCTTTATTCTACATTAATTCGTATCATTAGTTTGACCGTTCTTTTTTCACATCTATGCCTAATAATTACACGTATAGATTATATCATCTTTCATTTATAATTGCAATTTGGTTTTAAAATTTGTTACTTAAGTAATACAACATTCAAAAAATAAATCATGCTTTTATCTTAATTGTTGAAAAAGTAGTTATGCAATATCGCATGATAATCAATATTTTAATTGTCAATAAGACAATTTAACAAAAATGGTTCATTATAATGTTACTCGAAATAACTCAGTTTTACCAACTTTAATTTTAAAACATAAAAAAAATTGAATCAACGCTCGAAAGAGAGAAACAAATAGTTTCTCAATATCGTTACTTTCCATTATTAGTGGGTCCTTGAAAGCTTTAATTGTTCATAATTAAAAGATCTCTTACCAAAACTGTCGTTTTTCAGTGCTTCTGTGGTTTGGCGACCTATATATATATATCGTTGTCGTACAGGACTGATCAGTAACACTTACTGTTATATCTTGAAAACTGATTTCTCGATATACCGCGTATAACAGAGCACTAAAACACCAAAACCCTTCCAAGTCGCAATAAGAAGACAGAAGACTAACGAAAGGAATATTATTCCAAACAGTGTCAATCATAGTACAAAATTGTCAGGTATTTATAGTTTTTAGTGAGAACGAAATCATCATTACAGTCTTCCAATCCGCATACAGGGGGTTATTAGCATTATCCAATCGGGAAGCTACACATTGGAATTCTAGAACATTCTTCCGAAAGGTGATTGGATGAGACGTCTTCGGCTCCTTCTGAGCCTCTTACAGCTTCCTCGAGTTCACCGGTGGTCCGTCGTCACACTTACAAACTTGACAAAACAAGATAATAAATATATTTTTTGTTGTTATATCCCAATGAGTAGAAAAAATTGTATTTCTGACGTTTCGTGACTTAATGTAAGCCACTTCTACAGAGTAAATAAACAACCGAATTAAATTAACACAAGTTTAAAATAGTACAAAGGAAACAATACAAAACATTTTTAGTACAATCAAAATCACCATAGGTTTGCATATGTCAATGTCAAGTTATTCTTGGTCAAGGTGAATTTGTATGACCTGTCACTATTAAATTGTGCGTCAGAATGTGGGTATGAAAAATGTATGCATTTGTAATATAAAGTAGTGACGTTGAGATTAGGTATGTGTGTGTAGAAGTCGCCGCAATCCTAGAACCAGTACTCGAAAAACGTCCAGACAAGCAATCGCATATATTATGTCAAGAAACATATAACATATTGACAAAACAAATATCCGTTCCACCTAATGCTTCCAAAGAAGAATGGAAAGCTTTGCACTCATTGCAGAAAGATAGAACGATTGTCATTGCCTAAGCTGACAAAGGGAATACAACAGCGGTCTTCAGAAATTTCTCCAAAAAACATAAACACGCTCTCAGAACACTTTTGAAATAGATGAACATAGCAAACTACCTTTCTCAAACTATTTAGTTTAAAGGAATTCTAATGGTAGTCTAAATCTAATCATATACCGAAAACCGACACATTCTGATCGGTATATTGATTTTAACTCTGTACATCCATTCAGTGCGAAACTTTCCCTATCCCTGAATTTTTTCAGAAGAGCAACCAGGATCATTACTTCAGAAGAAGGAAAACTAAAAGAAAAAGAGAATATAATAAACATGCTACGATTTAATAATTTCCCTGAAAATATTAAAAACATTAAAACAAAACTATCCGTCTGTAAATAACAATCCTAATAAAAGATCTTGGATTGGTACTGTGGTTTCACTTTACCACCAAAAGAATTACAAAGGACATTGGAAACGCGCAAAATTGAAGCTTTCTCTGAGATAACTAACACTCTAAGAAACTATTTATTTAAAATAAAGATACTATCCCGTTCACTTCCATACAAAATTGTGTCTACAGATTAAGTTGTGTCAATTGTGATGCATTCTGTATTGGAGATTCTCCCCGTGAGGTCTCGACTCGTGCCAAGAAACATTTAATTTACACAAAAAGACCTCCTAATGATCGTTTAGGATTGGAAAATTTACAGGTTTAATCAGCAATAGCAGTGCATGCTATTTTCACCAAATCGATACTAAAAGTATCAAAATAATTCAGAAAGGCTTTTCCAATTACAAAGAGAGGCGATTAGCCGAAACGTTTCACATTATGCCAAATCCCTCTGCCGTCAATAAGAAAGAAGGCTTGAATGTTCATTCAACTTGGACTGTTTATCCAAACAACCACATATGACCTTATTTTCCACACAATTTTCATACACACACATACCTAGTCTCAACGTCACTACTTTATATTACAAATGCATACATTTTTCATACCCACATTCTGACGCACAATTTAATAGTGACAGGTCATACAAATTCACCTTGACCAAGAATAACTTGACATTGACATATGCAAACCTATGGTGATTTTGATTGTACTAAAAATGTTTTGTATTGTTTCCTTTGTACTATTTTAAACTTGTGTTAATTTAATTCGGTTGTTTATTTACTCTGTAGAAGTGGCTTACATTAAGTCACGAAACGTCAGAAATACAATTTTTTCTACTCATTGGGATATAACAACAAAAAATATGTTTATTATTAACTTTCTACCCAATGATCAATTTATTTGAAACCATCAAGTTCAACCTTGGCATTGATACCTATAAAACAAGATAAATTCTAGTCGTTTACTGTTTATTATTACTATTATTCTTAGTGACCGTTTGCATTTCTTGAATTCCTATCAAGAAACTATGACCTACGAAGTCAATCAATTTAAATGAATAAAACATTAACACATCAATCACACTGCATAATGTTCACATTGCAGTGCATTGATTGACTTAACCCTAATCCGGTTGTTTGATGTTATTTTATATGCTTTGAGATGTGAAGTTTCTTAGTTCAATCTTATATTGGAGTTATGCATGAATGGATTGTTGAGCAGTCCTCCAAACTGAAACAAAACACGGATTGTGTATCAGCAATCTCTGGTTTTTAACAGATCTCCAAGTGAGATATCAACTCTTAAGAAAAGTTATAACTAAATGAATATCTTTATTGAAGGGGTTTTATGAAGATCTGTTTGATTTGTAGGTCGTATTCGTCATAGATTAATTCCAGTTGAAGCATCATTAAAAACTGAGGAGCACTGAATAACTACTTCTTCCTAGTGCGGGACTCAGTAGAGCTTACACACAATTTCATCAAGAAACGAACCAAAGACCTTCCAGTCTGGTAGTGAATGCTTAACCATTAAAACTACTATTTCGGTGTCCAGCATTTCAACTTCAACCAATTTGTGATATACTTTGATGACCATTTTATAACATTGGCGACAACTGTTTTACTTTCAACTAATATGCCTAATGCTGGGTAATCCCATCTCAAATGCTCCTTGTGTTCCATTGTTAACTCAAGTAATATTAATATGATATGAATACAAACTACAAATACGTATTCTGCTAAATTTTTTTTCTCGACTTAAAAATAACTAATATCAATTTTGCACTTTAAACGAAATCAATAAGGAAATGAATGTTTGATTCTCTTGTTTAAAAATAAAATTCACCATTTGCATAAAATTCTAAAAAAAAAATTATTTAATCATTGTCCACATTCTCTCTTGTATAAACATGCATATATACACACAGGTTTATTCGTATAATTTACAGTCGTTATTACATTGTTTTCTATTTCAAATATATACATGCACTGAACAAACATTTTAATAAGTATAGGATGGTATATTATTGATTTTTGTACACCCTTCCCCTCTATTTATTTCAACTGTTCGTGTATACATGAGCACAGATTAGAATTGTCCTATCGGGTTGTGTTTGTATGCACTTCTTTTAATCACTATCCTCTTTGTGTTATTATATACTCCCTCCTCTATTTATCTATTGGTTTTCTGAATATATTTGATAAAATCAATAAAAAATCTATTATTGATTAGTACCAGTAGTAGTAGTACATAACACCATATTTTATCAATAAATTTAATAAGTACTTTAGAACTAACTCATTTACTCAATAAACGTTTTAATCCTTCCATATTGTTAATGTATGCATGTGTACATTTGTATATGCGTAAAGAATATGATTGTCTTGACGATACTCTCCACCCTCTTCCTTTTCCCGTCAGCGTATATCACCATGTTTATTGCGGTCTAAATATTGGTAAACTGTCTGTCAATGATTTATTATTTTTGTAAATTAACAAATTAATTGATTGTCATCTCACTCCCCACCTACTCCTTTATTTTAATCGTATGTGATCATTGTCTGTTACGAACTTTTTCGTGATAAAAACAAAAACATAATATTTATGTTTAATTAATAAATATTAATTACTATTGTTGTCAGAGTACTAGTTTATCGACTAATGTTACAGTTGTTTTTTAAAAAAAAAAGGTTCTATTAATAGTAATTATTATTTATTTTTTTCAGTTCTTTCATCGATTATAAATCAATTTAACTTAAAATAGTGTTAAATAGACTCTCCCTAACACTAAAAAGAACAATCATAACTAGGAATATATGACCCTCATTAAATGTATTCCTAAATGTTTATTCCTGGATTCATTTGTTTTGTAAGCTTTTCTTTCATTTGTTTTGCACCATTCTGGTCAAATCAATAACTTATATTACTGAGTAATGATATTCACCTGTAATGATTGAAGGGAACACTCTTAGTTAGGATAACGAAAACCCCAGATATCTATGTTCCATTATGTCTGTATGTTACGTTTAAC